AGATCCGCCTCGCCGATGACGAGAAGAAGCCCAAGGTCAAGTCAGCCAAAGTCCAGCTGAAGATGCCCAGGAACTTCTCCCTTCCCAGCTTCTACGAGCACCAGTTGCTCAACGTCTCGAGGATCTCCCAGCTGTACGAGAAGAGAATCGCCCGCCTGGAAGGCAGCCATGGCCCAGCCAACGAGCCCCAACCATTCGATCGAAGAGATTCTCAAGGTAACGTGACACGTCAGCGTGACCGACCTGATTTTTCTCACCTCACAGATGGGAAAATGGACCAGAGCGCTTCAGCTCGAGCTGGACCAACTGCTGGACGAAGGGTTCGTTAGCTGGACGATGAAGGACTTCCTGACGTTCAAGCGCGCGCTGTACGAGTTTGGCCGCAACGACACGGAGGCGATAGCTGAGGCGATGGTGAACAAGTCCAAGGAGGAGGTGGAGAGGTACGTTTCAAATTTCTTCGCCAAGGGGCCGCAAGCGTTCAAGGGCTGGAACGCGACGATCAGAAACGTTGAGCAAGTGGAGGAGGAGATCCTGCAAAGACAGAAGATGATCGAGGTGACGTCATGCTGTTTCCTGTCTTGTATCACGTGAGGAAGCTGGGGATGGCTAGCATACGATGCTTCCTCCCTCCTCCCTCGACCGTCTCCTCCTCGTGGATGAACTCTTCAGCATTCTTTCTCCGACACCAGTCTCACCATCACGTGTCACTAAGTTTGTCACACACATCAACCCCGCGACATCTTCGCTTGCTGCACTGCTGCTGACTTGCTAGCAGGCTGTGAGGGACAAGATAGCGCAGTACAAGCATCCGAGACTGCAGATGGAACTTTCGTACCGCAAGGGGGTCGACCGGAGGCCATGGACGGATTCGGAGGACCGTTTCTTGGTCGTTACAGTGATGGAGGTCGGCTACGGGCAGTGGCGGACAGTGCAGAGGAGGATAAGAAGCGATCCAGAGTGGGTGTTTGACTGGTTCTTCAAGTCGCGATCGGCGTCGGAGCTGAAGTCAAGGTGAGAGGAGGGGAGGTTGTGTGGGTGTGAGAAGGTGATGGTTGTGGGGAAGCGAGATGATGATGATGAAGGAGGAGGAGGTGGTGGTGGTGGTGATGATGATGATGGAGATGATGATGATGATGATGATGATGATGATGATGATGATG